ATATGGGCAGTGTCCCCAGAACCACTCACCGAAGCGATTTGTCTCGAAGCCAGACACTTGAAGTGGTTAGGGCTGCCGACCCAGCAGTTGCCAGGCAACCAATGTCCCCATTCCTGAATATCTGGTAGTGAAAAGAGTGACTCTCCTCTTGGGGAGGGTCAGCAATTGTTTTGCCTCTTAGAATTATTCTTGTACTTCATGCACCAAACACATAAGGATGAGTTTGACAGCCACTGCTTCTACGTTACTAGCATGAAATATGCTCCGTGTTACCCCCGACACGTAGTACACACAATCAAGAGGAGGAAGCTAGCTGTTGCTAAGGTCCAGTTTGTATGGATCAAATACTAAGTTTCGTTAGCTCTTCGAGCATCGCTACCCCTATCGCATCCCCACAATCGTCGCATTCCTGGAAATTTGGGCTGATTCAAATCAAAAGACCGACAAGCTTTATAAATAAATAAATGGCTTATTTCTCGACGATGTGACACACAGTCCAACTGACTGCAAAACGACGGAATTCCTGAAAGGTTAGTGGATATTCTTCGAGCGCTACACCACCATACTTCAGGCAGTGCGGGCCTACAATAAGGTTTCTGGGCTGCTGCATGTCACAAGTAATGTGCCACAAAGATACCCTGTTTCGCTTCAAGTATGCGATGGACGTTCTGTTGGGGGCTTTAGAAGGATTAGAGATTTGGCATCGAACACCCTCTAGGCAATTGCACAATTAGATTAGATTACACTGACGATAGTGCACTGCTTGTTGGTGGTGCAATGAGTAAGCAAGTGACCCTTGACCGACTGGTGGCCAAATCGGATGATATGTGCTTTACCAACCCCAAGTGCACTACTACAGAGGTATCCCTTCATGTTGCTAAAACCCTGTCGGCTGTTTTGCCAATTGGAGGCATCTGTGTCATCATCGTGAAATATCTCTCTAGTAAAAAAGGGTTTAAAACGCACGTGCCTGTGCGATACTGTTATGTGGATGCGGATAAGGGGTGGTCCGTGCACATGACATGCGTGTGCTATCGGCCTTTGAAAGTGGCTTTTCGAGAAGGATCGCTCGTGTGTGATGTAAACACCGAGTGCGCCGCCTTTTGAGCAAAGCCAATCTTCCCCTCTGTGAGCATGTTCTGTTGCACCGGTTGAGATGGTTCGGTCGTCATGCGCAAGCCCAGCGAGCGTTTATCATGCCGCTCCGCATTTTCGCACGCAGGACCGCATTGGAGGTTAGTCGAACACTTGGTGACAAGACAAGAAATCATCGACATCTTGTATCAGGCTTAGAGTCAACCCAATCTGAGTAAAACCTGGGGTTTGGAGAACAGAAACCAGATGGCGCCACGGAACTAGATTTGAACTTGCTACTGTGCCAGAAAAAGCGAACCAACGTCATGTTCCGAGTGGAATGCGCAAATAACTACAGCTGAATATGCACAGAGTTGGCAGATTTTTACCAAAACGCATAAAGGTTGTTAGTATAGCAGAACAGTGTTCTTGTCGCTTGGCTCACAAAAGATATAAGATTTGTGAAAAACGCCTCATATAAAGTCGCTCCAACTGGCAGATACGGTAGGTTATACTACTGGCAGTTACCATTAAGCCCGGTATTGCGTTTGTTTTGCTAATACACACCACTTGACCAGTACCACGTGTTCTGACAACACAAGGGCACACTAATCTGAAGTCTGTAGGAACTCCTTACTGCGACCATAAAATGGTGCCTAGCCATCGTTGGCTCCGTACGTCTTCCCGGTTGCCGACCCAAGGATAAGTAATGTCAGTGGCTTGAAAGAACTCGAAGCGACGTCACAAAAGCAGGTTGTAGTGGAAACAATGTGTGCAAATTTGTTTGAATTTCCAAGGATACTCACTGAAAACAAAGCGTAAAATGGAGAGTGAAAAAAGGACAAACAATATAGATGACCACTGTTCTTCCTCATAACTGATTCTCTTTCTGTGGTGTACATCTCCGTTGATTCAGTTTTTCTGCTCGCTTTCTTCACCCTATGAAACCCCTAGCCTCGGCCGAAGTGCTAGCAGTCGAATTCGCTAAACAGCGCCGAACCGCACCACAACCTAACTGATTTATTTCACTTTTATTCAACTGATAGACCATATCCCCCTACATCTACGATCTTGTTTCCTAGGGTAAAACATAATAAATTTTTTTCTTTTTACCTGGTAGCTGGCTGGAAGCTTACCGGAACGATGCCTATCCGTTGCTGGTAGCTCAGCTAGCATGCAACTGCTGTATCTATTTTTCCTTTGTGTATTGTATTATATGCATGTATTTCCTTCATGTATTGCGGCACCATAGCGGAGGTGTTTTCCCACCTCTAGCTGATGTGTATAATAATGATGATGATCCGTTTCCGACTCAGTGGGAGTGCTCGCCGCGCGTATTAGGAGTTTAGGTCCGATAATAAACCGCCCGATCCACTGGCAAGCCCCACCCGGGGCCCCGTACCCAATTCAAGCTAAATAACGCCAATTTTGGGACGTTGATAGAGATCACAATGCGTGTTACCCCCTACTTATATTCTAGAAACCAATGTCATAAATAAGTGCTGCCTCAATGTGACGCATTTACAGAACTCTAGCAAGACACCAATGTTGGTTTCATCGTATGTGAGTCCCGCTGGTATTGTCACCTTGGGCTCATTTGAAGACCTAACTGCCGAAGCCATTTATCATGCCGGCGTGGAAATAACGCTTGGCACATGTGCTGAGGCTGTGCTATCCAACTTGCTCTGCGTGATTTAATTGAAAACATCGTCCAGCTGTGGAGCCAACAGATGGTGTTTGTTCATTTTAGCGACGTATGTTCCTACATGCACTGCAGCGCTAACTCTGTCAGAAAATCGCCGGCAGTAAGCCCGAACGCCGTGTCGATACTTCGCTGTCACGTGGCCACCATGTCGCATGTGGGTTAAGTATGCCGCAAGGTAGCACACATCTACGCGGATTCGAACCGGTGAACGACGGATTACAAAATAAGCGCGCAACCCTTTCGGCCACTGACCTGGTGCCAATATGAGATTCCATCACATGGTCAATGGTGGATGCACATTGACCATACCTCTCTCAGTTACCACTAACGCTGCCATACATAGAATAGCAAATCAATCTGGGGTATCTGCCTCACCTCGGATCATATACTAGTGTGTGCCAAGGTAGCTTTGCACTTTGGTAAGCCCCAACAATATTGTCCAAAACCGTTAGATGTGGCAAAGTTCTCTGCCCCAAATGTTCTGAGCACGTTTCACAATGCCTTAGCCCCAAACATCAGATTATTTTGCTCAAATCTATAAAGGCATTGGGTGCACCTCCGCAAGACCATGCAGGACTCTATGACCTTGGTATGTGGTTTCAGTAGTAGTCCTGTTAATTAATGGATCAGAACACCACCTCTCCAGCGTCTCAAAGTCCGTCGAGAAATTCACGCTGGTGTTGGGTATCATTCACTGCACAGGACTAACAAACCCCAAACTCAAGAAAGTCCTTCAGAAGGATCGCGAGGCCTGATGGACACAGTGAGCTATCAATATGGAGCGAGCGCCTTTTTCGGAAAATTTTCGTAAGCTTTCCTTCTGATCCGGAAGCATGCGCGCGTAGCGATCTTATGACAGTTGGATATTTCTCGGTCGCAAGTTTTCACATTAAATAGTCACTAAGAGTACATCGATCAGGCGAATCGAAAGTCCCTTTGGTGTCTAGGATCTATGGCGGTGCCCTAACACCTGGGGTAAAGTGAAGAGGTGGTCAATGCAGCCTCAATTTCGACGGAACCCAGCCTGCTCCCAGCGATTCTGGCTTTAACGGATGCCACCCAGTCAGTCTGTGGAGAACGACAGAGGTAACAGAGGCAACTGAGATCAGACTGATTCCTCAATGACTGCCACATTCTGATCTCGAGTCTCCATTGAAAATCGGGACTATGACGCAGCGCATCCAATCTGTTGGGACAGACTGCTGCGCCATAGATACACTAATAACTTATGTAAATCGTCCAAAAGAGCAGGGCCCGCAAATTTGAGGTGGGCTGAATGAAGTCCATCTGCTCCAGCGGTGTTGTTCAATGTCAGCCGTCTGAGCATAAGTTCGTTTACTGGGCGTGAGGGCGGATCCACGAGGACGGCCAGGGAGTATAGTGATCATTGGCCGATGGAGAAACTAGCAGCTCTGACTGATTGAACTGCTTCCCGAAGTGTTCGGCCTAACGTTCTAAGCGTGTTGACAAGCTGTAGATCGGCTGTCGAGTCTCATCGCGTATGGTCTCGTTAACACCAAGTCTTATATTGCTTGTTTCCAGTATCAGAGAGAATAAGTGCCGAAGGTTACTAAGGACAGCAGCTGTCTCCATCTCCGATTCGTGGTTATACCATTATGTATAGCGGTCTCTCTTCAGGCTAGCATGCGAGTCCCATTGTATTCGCTTCCAGCAGGAATATTGTAGCGGGGCCGCTTCCAAGGATGCTTCGGGGGAGCTCTTCGGAGCTAGCTGAGAGCGGATCGAGAAGGACGGCTAGCGACCAGCCTGGGCCTGGAACTACGGAGCGGGAATATGTGGACAGCGCAATAAATCAGACAAATACGCCGCTAGCGCAGCCCACAGGACCGAGGCCGAGCCGATTGACACAGCCCAGAACAAGCAAGTCGAGAGCTCTCGAACGACTCCTGGCCGATCCAAATCGGGTGCAGAGAAGCGGAGATCGAGGCGAAAACAGGAAGGCGGATGTTCCAAGTCAGAGCTCCCGAGGCGAAAGGACTGGCTCGTCTCCAACATCCGTACCTGTGTTGCGTGGTGGGACGGAAATCTAGTCGATATTCGATGGCGCGCGCGAGACCCTCGTGTGCCCATTTTCGGTGTGCAATAAACGTCTACCCCCCCCTGTCTTGTCGTTCTCGCTACAATATGTCAGTGACATGCATGAGTTCCAGAGACTGCGTAGAGACCCAATGTTCAGCTTGACAACCTGATTCGCCAAATGAAGAGGTCTGCTGTTAATAACGACTGGTTGATATGCGACCAGTGGCCCACTACTGTTCACTGAGCGCTTCCTCAGCTTGAAGGTCGGCGTACTTTGATACGCATTAAGGACATCTGGCTTCACCAACTGGCATGTATCTATGCGCTCACTGCGACGCCGCATGCGCCTAATGAAGCGAACAGTAGGATCGATACAAACGAGTACGTGAGCAGAGTCCACGCTCGTGCTCCATATTAACGGTTTTGGACACAGCCTCTCCAGCGGTAACTGGTCGCGATTTGGTCGATTTGTGTTCATGCTTGAGTTGAGGCGGGTGAGCGCCACATCACCCATCGGCGGGTGCTATGTCGGAAGTTAGTGTTCGCGAAAAACAGATGAGTATCTTCACATGGGTGTAGCAACCGCTCACCTTTGTCATTACGGGAGTCTAGGCCACGTTGGCCACCCGAATGAAGCCCAGTAGAGGAAAATTTCCTGACTTGGGCGTCCAAATCACCAACCAGCAACACAGTATCCGTATATTTCGGTAACGGAGGAACGCGTTCAAATTACGATAGAAGACAGATTTCACCGTCACCGTTATAATTTGTGGGCACGTACGAGGCAATGACAAACGAGCACCGATTGCCCTCAGGCGACTTCGAGGCTCTCAACGAGCCAGCCATTATGACAACGTACATCCGACTGTTCATTGCGATCCAATCGTTCAGGGCAGATTCAGACCCCGGGCTAAAAGCAATGCTAACACCGGCTTGACCGGTATACGCAGCCGCGTCATCGCCAGACAAGCGCAATGAGGAAATAGTGCCCGTGTCGCACGCTGGGAATTGCAGGTTAATCACAGAACTCGAGTTCTGCAGGCAGCAGAAATCGATAGATAGGGGCTCCAGTGTCCGGGCAAGTGCTGCCTATTGGTCAAGCTGCAACAAAATGCGCCCAATGAGGCGTGCCAGATCGATGGCTTCAAAGAGTAGCAGATTAATTGACCCCTGATTGGTTGGACATGGAAGCGTCGTCTGAAGCGGAGCGACGCCTTGCAATTGTGTGTGAGTCGAAACTAGGAGATAAACAATTACTGAACCAAGATGGGTGATGGCCAAGAATTAGGGGGTTGAAAACAGGGAGTAAAAGTGAAATTGGAACGGAACGCTAAAGATGAAAAAGAGCATGAGGGGGATTAGGAGACGGGGAAGCATTAGCAGTAGCATCCAAACCCCTTTTCACCATGATTGATGCAGCGGATAGGGCGCCATTTATTATCATCTGCGACGGCCAGAGTATCAGGAAACTGTGAGGAAATGCCCAATGTATCGCCTTCTAATGGGCCAGTAAAGCGCTCGGTGAACGGCCTATCTCCTCTGTCTCTGGGGGGATACTGTGGTCCCGTATTGCGTGCGCGCATCACGCAGTTGGCAGAATTCCGACCACATCTAGACGGCCGCTAGGTTTCACACGGGCGTTACCGCGTCATCGGTCCGAATTGCGCAATCTACTCTACGCGTGGGAACGACTCTGGACGCACTTTTCATCTCTTCGGGTTCAAAGAGAAGCGAATCAATAACAGTTTCACAGTTCGAAATGACCTCCGCCCCATCGAAGTGTAAGTTATTCTTGCAGGACTGGCTGGCAACTGTTTCATCTCTTGATATTTCGAGTCACTCCCTCGAAGTGGTAGACAAGTTTGTCTAACGCTGAAGCTGATGACGACTCTGCGCGTCTCCAAAGCCTTGATTGCTTTAGTCATTCTCCGACATCTCTGGCATTGAGGTAACCAGAACTTCACTCTAAAAGACCGAGTTCACAATGCTACGACGAGAGCGGTCTTGCTCTAGGGTTGTCAGACGAGGCCTGATCACGCAATAATGGATCGGAGGATGCTTCCTTTATATCACCGCTGTCATCAGAACATTGCTGGTGTACAACAGCAACGCCACACTGGTAATGACAACGTTTGTCAAGGAATTTTCAAATCAGATGTCGACTGCCTAGCTGAATAATGTCTGCATATGCTGCGGTGGCTTATGCACGTGGTTAACAAGCCCACTGCGTGTTTAACTCGCCATGTACACCTCGCACAAGCAGAAGTCGGCTGAAAGCGAAAAATGTAATCAAGGAATGAGTTTGGCCCGATTGATGAAGGCGCTGATATCAAAATTGACCGCGGCATGGCGTCCTCGAGTACCGGATCGGTGGCACAAGGACCACGAGCACACCTGTTTGAAAGCTCATGGACAAAAGATCTTCCACTCAGTGGTGAATATGTGAGATCCTAGTCCCATGATATCAATGTAAAAGTTCAAATACATTGGACACACGACAAGCTGTTTGTCAAACCCGATAGCAGAACACTGTTCGAGGTAGCTACGAAGAGGCACGCGCAGACGCATCAACAGTGCCATCATGGAGCATTTGCTCCTAAGCGGACATGTGATCCGGATAGCGGATGTGTTGGCCGTTTTCTACTCCGTGCCGATGCGATATCCTAAAGCGCTTAGAAAGTGTCTATTGCAGACCGCTGAGGTAATGGCTATTAGGCTGATCCAACCCGAATCATGCAAGCAGAAGGCTTTCGTACAAGTCCACAGGTTACCTTGGCCCTGTGGTAATTTGTCTGTGTCGGACACTGTCAGCGTAAAGTAAGCTGCGAAGCCTGTCTCTAGTAAATAGACCAAAATTATCGATACAATTTACTGGTATTGTTCAAACAGCAGCAATCATATTGCACATTTTATTAGCACACTATGCTGCCCGTACCTTTATTATAATGGTAATGGATAAAGGCAAATTATCGAAAATATATATCTCCTCTAATTGGAGTTTTATTAAAATATGGGCATAAGTCTTTAATGTATGTTGTGTAGAAGTCTGGAAACTTCTTCGATGTGCCTGTGCAAAATTTTAACAAAATAATTATTTCATCCTATACTTGGACGATCGATGTTGGTTGTCGTACTGGTTGTTGAGTTTGACTGCTTGAGCCGAGCATCACCAGTTTTGATGCTCATTCCGGTTGCAGCGCGTAATCGTTCCGTGTGCTGTGCTCTTTTCATTCCCCTTCACTAGCACCATCAATGGTATCGTCTTTTTTTGTAGACAGGCCAACAAGAAACTCATTAAGAGTATGAAAGCAAAAGCTTCCCCGCAACTCGGTCTTTGAATCACCATTGGGGTCCCCGCCAAATTGATGACACCGAGTTGAGAAGAGCCTGAACGACGGATATTACGAAATTTTCTCCGGCAAGCTAGTTTCAATTATATTGCCACGTTTCCGGTTGAATTTCGCCTATGGTGGCATAGTTTGTGCCTGTTTTAACCATGAATTCTCCTGCTGTCCCACCTTTTGGAGACATAGATCCCCTTTTGTGGCTCGCTCACCATGAAACAGTTTTATAACCACAGAATCCCTACAGACTACACTAAGCACAGCAACCTTGTGTCATATCTCCCCAAAGAGATCCATGCATATTCGAGACATCGACATTTCTCAGACTGAAAACCGCTATGACGCCCTCTAGGAGGTCACGATTAAGTGTGTAATGTCCTCTGAGAAAGTCCGCCTGCAGCAGCTTATCAGGGATCTGTAGTTGGGCGACAAATTGCCCTCAACATTAACACGAGAGATGTAACAACTCCTTGATCCCTCTACCATGGACGAGACACTGCTTTGTAAATGTTGGCTAAGGCTGCGATTCTCGCCACCCTGAGCTCCGTATCACTCACCCAACTAGTTGATTTGGCAAAACGAGTCATTGAACAACCATAGCCACAAGCCTACACCAGAAAGATCAACACCGTCGTGTCCCCCAGAAGATCTGTAACCTGCTAACAGTCAACTACAGAAGCCCTATAAGCGCAAATTGCGACACTAAGTCGCCAAGTCCAGCAGCTCACTATGAGCCGTCGCAGTCACAGCCTATCCAAATCACTTTCAATACACTACAAGTATATCTACAGACAAACTTACTGTTGGCATCATCAGTGTTTTGGAAACGCGGCCTATAAGTGCGTCAAACCTTGCAACTTCAACGAGAATCAGGGAAACTTATCGGCTAGCTCGTGATAATGACGGACGCAACCGGCCAAAACCAGTCACCTAATCCGTGTTGGGGATTTAACTACAGGTATTGAGTTCCTAGTAGACACCAGAGCCGAAGTTAGCGTCATACCCCATAGCTCCGATGAGGTGGTCCATCCTCGCCGACCAGACTACGTGCCGCCAATGGCACAACAATCGCAGGATTCGGCGAAAAGCTGCTGACGCTTAATCCAGACGCCTGCGAACTTTTCGCGAAGATTTCATAGTAGCAGCCGTGCCATTCGTTAATACTGGCACACTTTCTTCGACATTTCGACCATATTGTTGATACTAAAAGACAGAAGCTAATCGATCCTCGGACACAGCGCAGCTTTATCTGGACCAGCGCCAACGTGGCCCCTATCACTTCCATTCGTGTCCCTCATCAAGCTTCACGGCCTTTTATAGACTTGTTCAAACAGCATTCTAAGTTAGTTCCAATCCAGGACGACACACCGTGAAGTCTAAAGTCCTGCATTATACCTGTCCTAAGGGTTGCCAATTTCTGCTCACCCTCACAGACTAGCCCCGGAGAAACTCAAAGCTTCTAAGGCGGAATTCGAACAAACGCTTGAACTCGGAATAATCTGCCTGTCCAAGTACATCCGCATCATACATGCTTCAGAAGAATTCCGGTAAGTGGCGTCCCTGTGGCAACTACAGGGAACTCAACAAAGTTAACGTTAAGGATAACTACTCCATCCCGCACATGCATGACTTGAAACAGCTTTGGCTGATAGGTCGAACTTTAGCAAAAGTGACTAGGGCGCGCCTAGTATCAATACCTGGTGTGGTGCCTGACAATATCGCTCAAAAAACAGCAGTTAGCACACCGTTGGATCTATTCGCATATCTTAAAATGCCTTTTAGCCTTAGCAACGTGGCGCAAACTTTTCATTCAGGTGCTAACACGAGGAATCGAAGGTCTTTATCCATACTTAAATGACATACTTGTCGTCAGCTCCTCTGATGATGAACATCGTCAGCTTGACGCATATTTCCAACATGTGATACAGCCTGTGGTTACCGTCAAACCGATAAATGCGAACTTGGCTAAAGCGCCATCGACTGTTTTAGTCACCTAAATTAGATATACTTTCAACACTTATGTTTATGAGATCCCCCGATATTGTTTTTATCACTGAAACTTGGTGCACGTCAGAAATTAGTGATTCTCAGCTTAACATCCTAGGCTATAAGCTTTTTCGCAAGGATCGCTCGCACAAACGTGGTGGTGGCTGTGCCATATATCTTCGAA